GCTGCCGCCGCTGCTGCGCACCCCCGGCCCCCGAGCCCGGCGCTGCAGGATGCCGGGGGGCAAGAGAGGGCTGGTGGCACCGCAGAACACCTTCCTGGAGAACATCGTCCGGCGCTCGAGCGGTGAGAGATTCCCCTCCGTCCTTCCCTCCTCCCGTCCGTCCATCGCTTCATCCCTTCGGGGGTCCCCGCTCCCGCTGCCCCCCTCCATGGGTCTCTGTGCCGAAGCGGCGCCTTCAAGGAACGGGGTCTTGCTCTCCGCGCTCCTTTCCCTGTCCCCCCATCACTTCTTCTCGACATTCTTACCAGCACTATGAATTTGTAGCCTTTTAAATAATTTTTTTCCTTCTTTTTTATATTTTTTTTTGGGGGGGGTGTGTGTGTGAGCTGTTTCTCAAAACAAGTAGCCATCGTTTACATTCCTGATACCCTCTCCGCTCGTCGGGTTATTTTTTTCCCCTTCCTTCTTCTTGGCGTTTCGTTCTCTAATAATTGGGTTTGCCACTCTTGTCGTTCGGCGTGACAAAGTCTGTGCGATTTCTGTGACACTTTTGAAGTCGAAGGGACCGGGAAGGAGGATGAGGGAGTGACTGGGGTTTGGAGGATGGTAATCTTGTGCCTGAGCAGATCCGTAAAGAGCTGTCTTTGGTTGCTCCCTACAGCTCTTCTTTTAGGAGAATATTTACTGGGCTGGTTTGGGACCCCATGGCCATCAAAGTGTTAGGTAAATATTTATTTAGAGGACTTCCTTGCTGCTGGAGTTAAATTGTACCCTTTCATCCAGTGCAGAGCCCTGTGCTGGGCACAGCTCCATTAAAGTTAAGATGTGGTTGCAGACCATCTCTCTAGGCATCTTAATGTAGATGCTGCTTTAGGCAAGCCTTGTGCCAGTCACATTTCCTTTTTTTAAGTAGTGTTTGCACCGGCACATAGCTAATGAAATGTGTGAGTGTTTGCACAAGTCCAGTTTGAGACCTCGACTTTGCATCTGGTAAGAGATACATCCTTGGACAACCCAAGTTTAGAGCGACCCTGCTGTGCCCAAGGGCTGGGAATGGGAAAGGTGGGCAAGGCAGAGCGTTGAGAGAAGTTGCCATGTGTATTATTAAGCAAGATGCTAATGTGATGTGAGGTCCTGCTGAAAAGTGTTCCCTTCCACCCTCCCTTATTGCACGGTTCTGGATTTTCCTCACGTTTGTCCTAACGTGGTCTGCTGTGCTGGCTTGAAGTTGATTTTGATGGCAGGTGGTGAATCAAGAGATTCGTTGACTTTACCAGCAGCAGGAGTGGGGATGAGGACTTAACATTTGTTTTAAAATGTTGTATGGTAAAATGTGAGCCTTGTATTAATCCATTGACCCTTTTTTTGGGGGGGAGAGGGGGCTTCCTCCCTCTCGTGTTGTTCTGCGTTTGGCAGAAGACTCCTGTGTCAAGCTCTGTAGCTGCACAATCACTAGGAGCTGGTTTCCTGCAATAATGTGTTTATTTACCAGAATATTAAATGCAAGCTTAATTAATAGGGGTTTATATAGCACTTTCCTCCTGACAATTTCAAAGCACCGGGTGGAATTTAATTACACTTCACAGCTTCTTGTGGAAGAGGACAGGCAGAGGCATTCCCAACCTCCTCTTACAACTGGGTTGTGGACGGGGGCTTGGGGCATCGCAGTTGTTTTCCCAAGGTCGGTGGCAGGGCTGGAAAGAGGGTTTGGGATTGCCATGCCTCTGTATCCCGCTCCAGTTAAATCACATGTACTCCCTGGTGAAAGCTCAGCAGAGCTTTGAGATGTCAAACCCTGGAAAAGCTCAGGAGGCTTTGGAACGTCGCACCCTGAAAGAGTGTATCCTTCTCCAGGTTTTAACCTGGTCTGATTTGGGGTGTAAATCACGCTGGTGATTCCTTCCATGGTCATTCCTTCTGCTTTTTCTCTGCCTCTGGTGGTGCCTGAGCGTGATGCTACAGAGGCAAGGCTGCCCCACTGGACAACAAAGTGACAAGTGGCTTGGGAATTTGCTTTTAACTCATGTAAACCGTCAGTGCTGTGCCCTGAAACATGATTTATTTTTTATTTTTGTCCTCTAGGCCAGCACCTTATCTGTCCTTTGTAGAAATAGTAAATTTCATTGAATTCAGCACTGTTTAATCCAGGCAGAATGGTATCCAATAGACCAAATTTGGTTCGAGTATCTCCACTGCTCGGTAGAAAACAAATATTTGGTCTGCTCACTGTGGGCTGAGTTTTGTTTTTATACTTGGATTTGCCAGTTTCCAAGAGGCTTTTCATTTACAAGTTGAGGAATGGGATGAAGAAAAGACTGATTTTAATCCTCAAAAAAGTCGTTCTTTCGCCTTTTCAGGTTAGCGAAAACTCTCTTTTGAGATTTCTCACACTTAGGCAATCCCATGGCACTTCTTGACCATAAATCTTTTCTTAACAACCAGGAGAATGTTTGTAGGTAGAGGTGGTATCTTCTATCAGGCAACAGATCCAGCTGGAAAAATTAGGCAGGTGATTTGGGCAGATAGGCTCTTCTCCAGGTGAAATGGAAGCAGTGATTTCAAAAATGAAATGCAGGTGGAGACAAATTACTCAAGAGTTGCCAGAGATGGATCCGAATAACAAAAATTTATAGACGAAGTTGCAACAATTTTAAAATGTGGGAACTCAGAGCTGACACAGCGGGAAGACGGCATGCGGACCTCGTGTGGTCCTGGTGTTAAAAGCACTCATATCTTCACTTTTCAGCCTTATTTACGCATTTTCTGTTTTTCACCCCAGCTTTGGCTACAAATCAGGTTAAAATTGTGATAGAAGCGCTCATGGGGAGTCCGTTGGGAGCAAAACCTCAAAAAGCCTTGTAGAAAGGAATGGGGTGACTGCGTCTCTTCTGTCCTCTGCGTGGAGGGGTGGGATTTCAGGGCTGCCGTGCTGGATGTTCCCTTCGCAGCCAACCTATCTGGGAAAGATGGAGCAAGTGCCAGAACCCCTCTGCCTGGGGAACCTTTCTTTTGGAGGCGACTTTACACGTTAGAGCTTGGGAAGCGTTTCAGAGGAGCAGCACACTTTGCTTTTGGGGCAGCATCAGGTTGGCAGGTGGTTCCCCGAACATTTTGTGGTCGAAGATGCCCCTCAAGCAGCTTTGTGGGTTCTCTGCCCATCCTGCAGGGATGTCTCCAGGAGAGACAAAAGTCTCCGGGGAGAAGCAGATTTGTCTTTAGACCAACTGCTGTGGTTGGTAAAAAGGGACAAGCCCTCAGGACAGACAGGCGTATCTTCAGGGTAATCTCAGTGAGCTTTCTGCAATTTTTATTTCTTTTTTTTTTTTTCTTTCTTCTAAAGCACAGTGAAAATACATGGAGTAGAAGTCTTATCTGAGGCTCACAAAGACTGATAAGATCTCCCTACAGCCCTGACTGTGCCCTGGAACTTAAGAACACCAGGTGTTCTGCTGAGCTGAAAGAAGAAGTGTTTTGTGAAAGCACCGGGTTAAAATCACATTAAAGTGACTGCCTTTCGCTGCCATTAGTATTTTGGGCTTTTAATAAGAGCCTTCCTTCAGGCAACTTTCTCTCCCAAGATGTTCTCCAGCAGTCTCTGCCCCTTATTACTAATATTATTGGATGCTTCTTAGGGCACCCGGAGCTCCCGCTGGCACTGACCTCGGCTCAGCATCGCGGGGGTCCGAGGGGTGCAGAATTGGGGTGTAGAGCAGGGCTGGGCTGGTGGACCTGGCTGGTGCTTGGGGGGTTCCAGCAAGCTGAGCCATGCACACAGGGGCAGAGGAACATGTCTGTCCTGCCTCTCCATCTTCAGCCTTCACGTGTTCTAGCGGCCAATGCATTAAGCTTGCGTTAACGGCAGGATTTGCTTTCACGGTAGTGACGAGCTTGAGCAAAGGTTAACTCTGGGACTTCGGGCTAGCGGTCTGGAAGAGGGGCTTAATTTAGTGAAAGACTATGTATAGTCTTATCTGTATGATGAGAGTCGTCGTTATTGGTTATTGTTTCCGTTACAATAACTCTGAGACTCTTCCTCGGGAAAATGGGTCTTTCAGGTCTTTCACAAATGTGTTTCGGCACTTGAGCAGAAATCTTGGTTCTTTAAGGCTTACACGGGGATTTTACCAGGAGCTTTAATGAAGCTAGCATTTAATTCCTGGCCTTTTCCAGCTGCGTGCTGCGTTCCTACAATGCCATTCCATCAGACACCCTACTGGGTCCCTCTGGCTGTGATGGGCGAGAGGATCAGCCCTGGTTACGGGCGACTGTGATGCCAAGGCAGGTCACCCTGGAACAGGGGAGGGAAACGGGCATCACATCTGTAGCACTAAGACACCTTTCCATTTTTATTACACTGCTATATTAGATAAAATAAGTGTTTATTACAGTTTCTCCTGTCCCTCTTCCTAGCCCATGTAGTGTACTTGATGTCTTACAGGCAGGGTGACAAAACATTGTTGATACATACAGGCTTCTCCCTGCTAAATTAAAACAAGCCGCGTTTTCATCTGATCCAATTTAAGTCTCACGCGCTGCAGAGGGAAAGTTCTTTAAAGCAAGTTCCTTCAAGTTTACAGGATGCTGCTCACTGGGAATGCTCCAAAAAAATATGCGGAGCTCAGCAGTTTCCTAAATCTCTACGTAAAAACACTACGAGGTGGAAGTTTCCATCCTCCGGTTCAGTTGACTGTGGAGAAGTGATTGGAGGGACGACCAAGGCACTTCTGTCATTAGAGCTTTCTGTGGCATTCAAAGGCACAGGGTTGCTTTTGCAATTTCTGTGACTGCAGGGGGGCTGCTGATACCCAAATCAGTGCCAAGTGGATTTTTACACTAAGCAGCATTGCTAGGTGACATTTGTGAGGAGCTTTCAATTAATTGCAAGTGCCCGGCTTTCCTTACTTTTCAAGTTGGTTTGCTGAATGCTGAAAGATTAAAAATATCTGAACGCTGCTGAAATCGGGGGAGTGTCACATGCTTTAAAATCTTTAATTTTATATGTGGTTTATTATTTTAAAAATACGATCGTGACAGCTCTATACTGTTGTGTTAATTCGGAAGCTCAAATAATCCCATATCGCTAGCTAAAGGAATAGCTGGATTTCCTTGAGGTCTGATGAGC